TCTATCTTTTATGGTTGACTCACAATAACACGTGAAACTCCAGATAGCTTAGCAATTCGGTGATTTCTGATTGTATTTGTCTACTCTAACGTTTACAATACTCATTCATAGACTTTACGCTGTAACTGAAAGGCCAATGGTTGAAATTAGCTTGACTCGATATTATAAATGAAAATATGTGAGTTTATGTGTATGTTTGTTACTCAGTCATATTAAAACGACTGAAGGGACCGGAATAAAATTCGGAACAGATGTAGAATATGGTCTGAAGTGATACATAGGCATTTTACCCCTGGGACCGCGGGCGAAGCTGCTGGCAGAAGCTAGTCTACTATATAAAAATAAGTCGGGTTTTCCTTCCTGACGCTATAACTTCAGAACACACGAACCGATTTCCACGGTATTGCATTCGTTGGAAAGGTCTTGGGCTCCGTGAGGTTTATAGCAAAGAAAATTTACTAATCACCAAACGAAATTTTACATAAAACGAAGCCCTCTGGTGGCGAAACGGAGTTCGCCGACTTTGATAGTAAAATCTAAAAATCTCAATTATACGCATACTGCTATATATTATTTATATCGTTATGAAACTTGACAATTATATACAAACCAAATGACAATATTTATTGTATTATGATTCTATCGACCTAGTTTGATTATGGGATTGGAAGGAAGGAAACTTGGACTATTTATTAATAAGCATAAACCAGTTTGGACTAGTAAATAGCCTCCTTTTTAAACAAGCTTCAATATTAAAAGCATTATTTTGTGCTCAAAAGTTACCTACCTAAAAAAAATTCTTGATGAGACTTCTGATTCTCATACCATGTTAACACATTGGGTGCCATGTCGTTCATTGGCGATTGACGCTAGTGGAGGATCCCATAGTTTTTGTCGGCAGTAAAAATTCGACTTCGGTGTAACTAGCTCCCACACGCCGTAATATACGCAAGCAAAGATCCCTGATAGCAGACAACATAGGCCCATTTTTCTCCCATCCACCCTAAGGAGAGACCACCCATCTTTCTGCCATATTTATTGGTCCAACCTTTCTTTCTGCGACTTGATTTAGACCTTTCCCTGTTATCTTAATTGGCAAAGTTCCCTAGAGATGCGATTCGTCTGTGAATCTGTGATCTGTATTCACACGCAGTCTTTTTTTAGTTTTCTTTTTTTTATTTGAATTTGGAGAATTCAATAAATACCGCCCCACCTCGAATGGGTTGCTAGAGGTGCACATTATATTACGTGATACCAATGTATAATGGTTTTGAGTCCTATGTATAGGGTGCGCCAGATTATGTAAATTATAATCTAATTAGTCCGTAAGTTAGGTAATATTAGACACGTATTTTTTTATTTTGTCGTATATTAAAACAATACTTAGATAAAACGAATCAAAGTTTAGGAGTGGGGGCTAAAACGTCATTTCTACGTATAAAATGTTCATTGAAGTGACGTCACGCGTCATTTCAAATCAATATATTGTCGAAAGTATTTGTTTCTGTAAGATAAAAAAATAAAAAAACGTGTCTAATGGTCTAATAATTTAAAAGAATCTACCAGACGGATATTAAAATAAAAATTGGGCATCCACCCTATTGCCAAATTGCCATGAAGGTTAGTTTTTCGATTTTTTAAACACAATATTGTATAAGTATTTACTTTTTCCCAATTATATTTCTTTTAGTGTATAATACGTTTGTGTGTTTAGAAATTCACCCAAGCCTGAAAATTCACTAGACAAATATTTAGTGTAGAGCCATAATAAAAAAAAATAGAAAACTAATTATTGACTTGAGTTACTTGTTAAAATATCATCATAATATTTTGCCTCTCATATTGTTCCTATTCAGTATCTTTTCAATAAAGCCTCTAAACAAGACCAGAGAAAGCGCAAATTTTATTAAATAACCGCAAAACAAATTTCGCGACATTTAATAATTAAATATCTAATTAGCGCGCAGCCAAATGATTATACTACCCTCAATGCGGGCACCACAGATTAACGGATTGAAACGGACGTCCGGGCGAATCTGAAATTATGTCCATGAAAAGATTAATCTTGTGTGCAAAATAATCTCTTTGTGCCAGTAAACATAGGATTATAATATCGTATGGAGTTTCTATTTTAATTTTATTTCAAATGTTCATAAGGAAAGCCATTGTATTATAAAAATAAAATACGATAACACCATCTAGAAAAAATAAAACAAATAATCTTTTTTCGCTATAAAATATCAGTGACATGTACAAGTACAACACAGTTATGTTATTCTATTAGTAGGTACTGATGCATATGTTCATGTCCTAAGTCTGCCGTGAAATGGGACCAGTTCAGTATGTGCAAGACAGGACCTTGCACTGGTATTCTACTGGCCACTTAAGTGACTTGCGGACGAACAAGCCACCAATTAGACATCAGCAATTTAAGTCAGCTGGACTTTTACCCATAAATATCTCCTTTTGATTTTCACTATCGAATGAGATTATATAACTAAAATAACATAGAACTGATTATAAGAGGAATTGAATATTTTGTAGTGCATATCTAGGTTAAGAGAGTAATCTCTGAACTCCTTACTATAATGAGAAGTAAGATTGACCGACAATCAAACAATTATGCTTTAAGTGCTGCAGTGAAATAAGGTTGAATTTCCAAACCATAGTCTGGTAATCTCACTTTTTTTTTTGCCCTCAACCCAAAGTTCGTCTCATGCTCATTGTTTTTTATTAGTTGACAAATATATCAGAGTGAAAATTCCAAGTTCAGCACTCATATTTATGAACATCAAACGAATAATTGTCTACTATTTAGTTAGGTGCTTGGTATCGCCGTCACCACACCTTCAAGGCAGCCCATGAATGTAAGTCTCCATGTGGCTTGAAACTAGTAGAGCGTTCCTCAAATACAACATAAAATCAAAACAAAATTGGAATGATGATGGGGTATGAAAATTAAAAATCTATTTAGTCCGTAAGTTAGGTAATTAAAAAACATTAGACACGTATTTTGTTATTTTGTTGTATAATAAAATAATACTAAGACAAAACGAATCAAAGTTTAGGAGTGGGGGCTAAAACGTCATTTCTACGTATAAAATGTGCATAGAACGCGCGACATTTCAAATCAATATATCGTCGGAGGTATTCGTTTGCGTAATAAAATAAAAAATACGTGTCTAATGATTTAAAATAATGTATCAGACGGACATTAAAATAAAATAAGGCATCTACTCTATTATAAAATCAAGTTTAAATGAGAATATCATGGACACAGTCCTGTCTAATGAAACATTCAATAATGTGGTTTCAGTCATTTTAACACACGTGTACAAAGCGGAACTGTTATCTACTATTAACGAACAAAATATGTAGTTATTGATCTATTGTGAAATTAATTCCTCTATCAAAAACCTAAATCAAATAAGTACGAGCAAAGCAAAAAACTTTTATGTGTTTTGAAAATAAGTTTTGATTGATCGTAGCAATCTAGTTTAGTTTGTGTTACCTCAAAATACTTGGAAATTTCATTCGCAAAAGGTCAAGTAACTTAGTTAAACTTTTTACCTGTTTAATGTATTAATGCTCTAATCATAACGCCTTGGCTTCCCCGAAAAGATGGGGTGAGATGAATATTTTAATTTTCAATCATGTGGATTAGATTCCACGCGGTTTATTAGGTTGGTCTTCAGTGAATAAATAATGTGCACCTTTGTCTATCTTGTTGATGATAAATATTTTCAATCTTAGATTGACAGATACCTAGATCCCTTAGGCTTAAATATGATAATTATGTGCCTTTGCGCTAAGTCATTCTGTCTCCTACATAAATTCATCGAGGGAAGTGAAAATTATAGTTTTTTTGGTCTTTTATATTAATATCTTCTGAATTATTTTGTGCAGGATCCAAGACTCTTAATTATGCCCCTGTGACGCGTCGGACTTCAGTTTTCTGGTATTTTCATGGTAATATCTAATGTAGATCCTGGCGTATAGGTGTTGCAGTGATTTTGGAAGGTTGTGGCGGGGTGGCTCAATAAAAAATAAGATAGATCAATGGGTTAGGGTAAGCTTACCATGCCCATGGTATTGGCCTGTACAATTACTGGGATGTCACAATAAAAAAACAAATTAAGTTATATAAGAAATAAAACAACAATATCCTGAAGGTAAGTGTACTTATTTTCCTTTATAAAATACTTAAAAATTAATAATTACATTAAAATTATAAAACTAAATAATATCACATATCATCAACGACGTCTAACAATTATATTTTAAACATTTTTACAAAATGTTCAATACTACCATTTTTTGGTCGATTCGTAAAACCAATCACAGACTTATATAATAATCTCTTGTAAGTAATAATATTGGCGATGAAGCAGATGATTATAATGATCCATAAGTAAGTACTATTCAATATACAGAAGAAGCTAATAGCGATGAAATAGCAGACAAAATTCTAATTGTAACAGACAATTTACTAACTAATAAAAAGCATGAACACAGAAAAGGTATGAAAAATTTAGGACATTTTGATGACACGAATATAATCTAAATGTTCATGTTCTCAAGCTCAAAGGTGATGACATAATATTTATACAATCTCTACATCAAACGCTAATTTTATTTATTACCTTGATTACTCTGAATGAGGCAAGACAAAACTGACGGCATAGAAATTCTTGTTAATCCCCTAATTAACTATTTCTAACATTGCTAATGTAACAGCAGCTGAAACCATTGCTAGGTTTACCCAAAAACATTATTAAAGCCATTTACTTTCTCTAAAACATCCATATTACAATTTATATTTATCGTAACATCTATTTCGTTTTTGTGTCAAAGAAAATATTCAATAAACTAACACTTTATAAGAAATAAATAATAAGTAAGTAAGTACAAATTCCAATAGAGGACTGAATTCTTGAGTTTAACAGTACTGCAGACTATTAATTCCAAGAATTCAGGTTTAATAAACCTAAAATTCGAAACTATGATTTCAAAAATGTCGATAACAATATACTAAATACGATTGCTAATGCAGAAGCTTGCACACTGGTACTTGCTGATGTGTTATTTATAAAAACTACAGGCCACCAGTGTGATATAGAAATTGCGTCATCACTCTTTGGTTTCTCTGTAGTTGCATGTTCCAACATGTTATCTGGCAGGTAACTACCACATGAGGGAAAATCTCTTGGCACTGGTGCCATATCTTTATGCTCACCTACTTTGAATACTAATGCCATACCAATTTCAACGTGGAACTCAATATGACAATGGAACAGCCAGTACCCAGGATTGTCTGCCTTAAATCTGATGACTGTATAACCTCCATCAGGTACAGTAACTGTATCCTTAATTGGAGCATTCTTTAGATTTCTTTTAAGCAGACCTGCTTTATCGTATGCCTTGATTTCATCAACAGTGATATCTTTAGCAAGTCTTCTGAGACCGACTACTCTAAAGCTATGTCCGTGGAGATGGAATGGATGGTTGGCATCAAAAGTTACACCTTCATCAACGATGATAATTTCTACTACAGAATTTAGCTTTACTGCCAAGACGTGGGAACATTCACAGTAGCCTTCGGTGCAGGCCTCGTCGATGCTGGAAGCGTTGCAGAAGTTGTCAGTAGAAGGTCTTGCGGTGAGCAGTGGACTTGAAGGTAACTTCATACTGATGTGGTTCAGTTGTGGTGTGTACAAACGATTTGTCTTCTCTGGGACTGTAATGGAAAGAAAATCACATTAATTTACATTTAATATTAAAGATTAGGAAAAGGATCTTCTCGTTAACAAAGGGATGATTATTGAATATTATCTATTTTTAAAATAGCTTCTATTTATCTGAAGTGATGCGATTCCACTCTGATATTACCAACTCAATCAAATTCATATCTAATGAAAACAGAATTAGCAATTACCCATAAAAATCTCTTGCGAGTTCGTGGGGAAAATAAGTAATTAAAATCGGTCGAGGTTCCATGAATGCTTTTAATTAGATACCTCTATTTACTTGATGAATTGCAAAATTATTAGAGAACCATTATTCCGTACTTTAATTGGGACCTTCTCGTTTCATAATAATTACATCAATCATTTTAGGGAAGTTCGTGTAATATTATAATAATTGTAATTATAACAGGTATTTGTATATGATAAAGTTGGTTCATATTATTAGGTATATTTTGTTTCATAACAATTTACTATTTTTAATGTTCCCATTAATTAATTGTCTTTGCAAGTCATTATTTAGAATGTATCCAGTTATTTCTGTATTACTAAACATCAGAATCTAAATAACGTATTAGCATATCCAATTAAGAGTTGAAATATACACTTATATAGTATTAATCTACACACATATTTTGTATCTAATAAACCAGTACCCATTTTCACCAGCATATCCTAAATTTTTAGGCAACCCTAACCCCCTACAGTTTTCACTAACCTATAAGTGACACCTAGCAGTACAAGTAAGGGCTTAGTGTAGGTGCTAAGTAACTTTAAGTTAAGAGATGGTTGATGAAAACGGCAATATGTAATTTTAGTAGACGAGCCGACAAAGGGGCGGCAAACTGTATCGCTACCAATAATAATACAAAACATAATGTCTTGGCTTACCTTGGTAATATCCATAGTAAGGTGATCTGTGGAAATGAGAATTATTCTTCGCATAGAAGTCGTAAGCTACGTAGAACTGGTAATCAGCAACTTCCTTGAGACTATCGTCGTACCCTTCCAAAGACCGCATCTCAGCTACACTGATCGTTTCTTCATCCTCTTCACCCTTGTTGAGAGCGTTTAATTGCTGTGGAAGAACAAAATTTTTATTATTATTTATTTTTTACTGTCGGTAAAATTTTAATAGTTTTATTGGTTCAATTCTCAATTTTCTGGCTTCTCATTCAGTGTTCAGTTCATAGAATATACTTAATGTCTTTATGCGTCACGGAGATTTTCAATTCCTATCGTAATTATTGTCTGCACGGTTGACGCAGTAAGAAAGAAAGAAGAAAGAAAGACAAACATAGTAAAAACAACAGTGATTGGACAATCATCTACTGTATGACATGTGGTGGTTTTAGTTTTCAATTATAACAAATTCTTTGTGCGATTCACAAATTGTTCCGATTACGGGTGTACGTGTGTTTATAAACGCACTCACGAAACAAGACAAAATTTAAGGTTTCATTAAAGTTCAATTAAAAAAAAAATTAATTACGTTCATATCTTTAGAATAAAGGATCTACGTCGTCTTACCAACGATCATCCCTATACCAAGAATACATGCAACAGCAATGCAAGGCGAATTTAGGTAGCACTTGGCACACATGTAGCCCATGACCCGGTTTTACTGTTTACCGACAACACGAGTGAAGCCTGTGGATCTAATGAATTTATAATTTACGAATACCCAAGAGCCGGTAAGGTTGAAACTAAGTTACATGGATTGGACTTACTATTTGAATTTGACAAAACCGTGCTGGTTGAAAGTTGTTTTTTACGTGTTACACAGTTGCCAAATAAGAAAAAAAAGTATTACAGTTGAAGGAATTTAAATGGTTTTATATAGCTTGCTCTGTTTATTTCTTTAAGTATTTAGTATTTATTCTAACTTAACCTTTTACCCCTTCCTGACGATAAGTTGATCTGTTTTTTGGTACCACTGTTAGTCTTGATGACCATACAATATTATAAAACAGAATTTTCACAACTACCTCCATTCCAGTGGTCAGTTATTTGTAATTTTACGTAACGTATAATAAACGTCAGATACAATCCCAGACTCAACACTACCATCAAACTTTATAAACCTCACTCAAATACACTCAAAAAACAAGATCCTCATTATATTACCGTACGAAATCGTTCATAAAATAATTCCCATAAAAATATTCCCCTAAAGTGTCTGGTGGCGCCATCTAATCCGCATTAATATTTTATGGAGTGCGCGGGAACTACTTCAGAAACGTACAGTTAGTGGCTTATCTTGAACTAACATGGATGCAGGTTAATGTAGCGATTTAAGACTGAATGTTCTGCTTTTATAGATAATACGACAGCTCGGAACATAGCTATCACATCTTATAGCTCATAATGTTAGATAGGTATAACCACATCCATTTTGTTATCGCTTACACTCACGATTTTTATCCATTTAAAAAGACTAATGGCTGGCTATGCAGCCTCCCCGATAGTAACTATCCTTATAAAATATGGACGAAAATTAGTATGGGTTGTTATAATGCCGCATCTAGAATGATTTTTGTTTTTCTCTTCAATCACATTGATTCATTACAAAAGATGTGTTTTTAAAATTTAATGTTACATTATTGGCAAATCATTACCACACTATTATTTACATTTTTAACTAAAACAAATATCTTGTTAAAACAAGACCAAAGTAAAATTACAGCGTCTAACGAAATTCCCACACACAATGGACCTAATAAACAACACTGAACCAAACACATTAGCCCAATCGATCTTCCGAAGAAGCTCTGATAGTAACTCTAGAATATTTTACTTGGAACCAGTACATTATTCTAATCGTTGCATGCAAAGCCTTCGCAGATAGTGTCTGGCGTACTGCCAGCTTGCTACTACCGTCGTTATACCGAAGGGATAATTTCACCGCATCTGCAAACGATTTGATTTTGTGACCTGCCTAATGCCGTTCTGCCGACAAGGGATTATCTTATAGTTCTTTGCTAGTGCCGTGGCTTCCAGAATTGATTATGAAGAGTTATGAAGATAAGGGCGGGTGTGATTAGGTCACGGTTTTCTTGGTTCCGAAAGATAATTTGTCGTACATGTGTTAAGTTAGGAAGTTTTCTCGGTTTGTTTTTGACTGCTATATTAAATATCGTGGTGTTGTGGCTGAGGCCTTATTTGGTTGCATACTAGGTACGTAAGTACGTAATGAGTTTGATAAAAAAAAATATGATTAAAGTGGATATTTGGCTATACATAAAGGCTTTTTTTTAAGGGGGGAAAATCATCGAATGACTGCTCCCGCCTGGGTGAGGCGGAAGGGAGTGTCAGACTCTTACTGACTAAAAACCACCCCGCTCCTTCTCCTGCACGTCGAGCCGGAGCCCCGGTTACCCGTTAGGTTCTCTGCGACATACATAAAGGCTAGTGAGTAGTTTTTCAGCGTCAGTTCTTAAACTTTATAATTTGGAAACCTCCAACCTAAAAAGAAACTTGAGACAGGTACTTTACATTCGAAATTATACTAACCTACATTCAGAATCATTCGACACAGCTCTTAGATTCAAATTCGGATCATAAGAGAATACGATTATAGCACGTTGGCGTTTGAAGAGCTCATGAAAATCCAGCGAGGTGGACCGTTGCGGTTGACTGGCGATATTCGTCTGACGAAACTAGGAGAGCAGGGGATATTACAAATATGAGAATAGGTATACTGTCTGTCTAATGAGCACACGGTCTTAGATTTAACGATGCTAGTTCTAGCTGTGTGGTTAGTTTGAATCAGTGATGAAAGTTTGTTTCTTTATGAGAAATACTAGAAATCCGCCCTGATCCCATACCATAATTTAACGTTACAGTACATTTCGTGGTCATCATCTCTGCTCTTCCTACGAGTGTCGCTACAGCGGATTAAGCGATTTCACTTAAGACAGAGACCAGGCAGCAGTTTTCTTTGATAAATATGAACTCCTTAAAATGAGATTTCTGCATGCCATGCCAAGCATGAAGATTATGGCAGACCCTCTTGTGTAAGAAGGTCAATATTCCAGCAGTAGACTATCAAGTGTTAATGATTATTCGATTTACAATAACACCTCAATAAAGCATTTTGCTAGTGCTATAGTTATCCACTAGAGATATTTAGAGATTGTCTCGACTGTCTCAGACTTATGCTGTTGAAACCTCAACACATTTGGAATGCTCATCTTACAATCAATATCAAATTCCTTGTTAGAATCTTGAACTAAATTCTGTTTCTCCAAACACTGCTGTTAGATACTTGATAAATTTGTTATACGAATTATATGTTATAAAAAATTAAGAGATTTTTTTATGGATAGGAGGCCAACAACCAGACAGATCACCGCATGATGGAAAGCGATCAGCGCCGCCCATGGACACCCGCAACACTAGAGGAGGCACAGGTGCGTCGCCGGCCTTAATAACCCTCGCACGACCAACAAGACATATATCCATACATTGCTAACGAGTAAATTAAATCCCAATAAAACTTTACGATTTTTAATAGCAATAAAAAATTAACTCGTCTTCAATTCATTGCCATTGCAACCACATTTACCTGACATTCATATCACCACTCAAAGTTCTGGAAACTTTTAAAACCACTAAAAAGCACCATGAGAACTTTACTTGGTAAATTAAGAAGTTTGCAGACAGAATGAACCGAAAAGTGAACAAAACGCAAAAATAGTTTGACCTTGAGAATGAAAAGGGTTAATGAATAAGGGGTGCCGCAAGTGCTCATACTCGCCCTCGTCCACGAGCCTGCACCAATGGCGCTTTGACATTGACATTACATAAGCCAGCGTCTATAAAATTCGTAGACGAAAACAAAGCAGATGTACGGTAACATGACAATCAGTGGCTGTTAAACGAGGTTGGTTATTGAAGTTAAACGGGGAGGCCACGTTGATGCGAACTAGCGGCCCCCGTACAAAACGCATGATTGTTTTTCCCTGTTTTTCCCGCTCATCGCAGACGTACGAGGCGCCACGCTTACGTAAGCTTATGCTTGCGACCCTGCGCAAGTCGTGAACGAGTGCGAGTGTGAGCATATATGGCGCCCCTAATACCTGCAAAAAGTCTTTATGAATTTAGGACATACGTAATTGGGGGCCTTTTTTTACAGTCTTTTTTTGGACATGTTTTAGTAGGAATGAAGTTGAAAAAGAGGGATTTTATTACCACTGAAGCATGAATGTCAACCTCGTTAACATTTAACGCTGTAACTGTGTTGACACAGTTTAAATCTGATTATTAGTTTATTGGCTCTCTGACGGTTGAGTTGCAAATACGACTATTGGAATTGTGTCTAACTTAGATTAAATTTATTATTCAAGTTAGCCAATCTATAATAATAGGACTTATTGCAATGGTGCTAAAATTGTCATGGACTGGCAAACATTGAAGGAAAACCTCGTGACGAAACCTGGGCTTAAAATTTCTAACTATAAGTTTGAAATCGCCAACTCTTATTGAGCAAGCGTGGTGATGAATGCTCAAACCTTCTCCGTGCCAGAAGAGATATGGTTTAGTAATGGGCACTTATAGGCTGTCGGTGTAATGTGTGATGTGAAATTAAATTTCTTTTAGAATATAACTGATATGTTTTTTGATTTTGAGTTATAAAAATAGAAATAGTTTAGTGGTTATTATTTCCTTCCTTAGATATTAATAACTCATTTTCGAGTTAATGTCACGAGTACAACGACCTCTGGTTGTTTATTATATAACTATATGATATTTCTGTTCTAGCTATTTTGAACATTTCTGAAATACTGAGAAGCATCGACATTGAACTACCACAAACTCGCATAATAGGATTACTCTGGCATTTCACGAGGAAACTAAAATATTTTACTATTCAGTGAATTAAATAATAGTATTATGTCTTTGATAAAGCTACTAAGATTCATCTATACATAAAATTGGAGTTTTGTAAAAAAATCTCAGTAGTAGCACGGAGTCTGGAATTGTGCCCGGTATATGGCAATAGGCTCACCCCCTATTACATGGGACTCATGAAATAAACAGTGAAAAGTGGGTGTTACATTGTACAGTGGCATAATGTGCACCTCTGTCTACCCCTTCGGGGATAAAAGGCGTGATGATGTTACGTATTTTACATTGAATTTACCTCCATACATTCCTTCAGGGAATAACAATAACATAACATCATTCTTTTTAAAACTAAGATTTTTATAACTTCACCATTCACCATAAAACTTCAGTCCCCTCTAACTGCCCAAACCCCAAAACAGATGTTCATAAATATCACTTTATTATGCGTATCATTGATAACAGTAAGGAAGCTGTCATCTCATGATAGAGGGAATGTTCCCAGCTGCAGACCAAGCTACGAGACCCAGTATAAGTTGACCGTTGAACGTACGGAAAGGTCATACAAAACGAGTTCATAATAAATTGGTTATGTATAGTTCGATGTGTTCCCGTTACTATCCTTAAGTTTTTACGAGCCGCAAGGGTGCGATACTGTACACCGATGTATAGGAAACTTTACCCAATACAATTTTATAGGGTTAAAATGTGACCTTGGGCGGTACTAGTGTTGAATATGCAATGATATGGCGCTTTTACCGAATTTATTATTTAAATATTTGCATGGACCGCCCGTTCCCAAGGTGTTGAATGGACCGTAGTTTAGAATTATGCGTGTGTCCTTTTTTTGGTTGTATTTTTTTGTCTTTTTGACGAACATATATTTTTAAGTTGGATAATACAAATCAGTCTTATTTTTTTTTTTTCATTTAAATAGCGCTGCCCCACACTAGGATTTTCTATTGTATCGTAGGTGCGTTTACAAACATACAATATCACTTACACACGAAACCCAGGCCCGAAACAACAATTTGTGGGTCACACAAAGATTTGCTCCGTGCGGAAATCGAACCCGCCAGCTGGTTGTCTAACTTCCGCGCCAACCGTGCCGTTAGCAGTATGGAATGGATGAACTCTGAATTTTATCATAATGTCTTTCTATGATATAGGAGATTATCAAAGTTTCCCATCTGAACTCAATCAGTTAGAAATTCCAAATCAATATTCATAAGTTTGTGTGTACCAATTCAGTGATTTTCATATGGCATAGTGTTTTTTTTCTGTATGGAATTCTAAGAATGGTTTTCCACTTACCAATCCTTCATTATGCAATTCTTCCCATGTGGGGTCACCAGGGGGCTCCAAATCCATAGCTCCTTCGTAGTGCAGGACCCCAACTTGCTTAGCTTTCGTGAATCTGTTAAAAAATATACACATCGTAAATATTGCATTGTCAACTTTCGTGGTTAACAGTGAGGATAACACTATAACAGAAGAGTTTTTCCTACTTTTGGGGATTCTAAAGATGTTGTGCTGTCTGCTTTCCAAACCTCGTCTAGATTCTTGGCCCTAATTTATATTTAGAATCCATTTTCCTAATAAACTTTAGTTATCTAACAATAAGTGAAGGAACATCTACATTACTTTCGTTATTTTATCATCTAGAATATAGCGAAAGAAGATTTGTTCACTGTCGAAACTATTAAATCCAAAACGGCAAAATCAATTATTTCAATTAGACCAGAAAAGCACATTTGAACGTCAACAAAAAAAATTAAAAGTGAAGCTATTTTCTCATTCCAAGGTGTAGATTCCTATGGAGAAGAATGGGCAAGAAACTCCATACGTTACTCTTTTTCAATCATGTTCACAATACAATTCTCTAGTTACATAGTTTTGTTGTTTAGATTGTGCGAAAACAATGGAACACTAAAATATAATCAAAGAGATTGAAAAAAAATAACCTTAAAGGACGGTAAAAAATACAGTCTAAAAAGTCAAAACGACAAAAATTTAACATTACGATAAACAGACTCAAACATTTTTTTTTTTTTCACTTCTAATTCAAAGAGTACTACTGCCAATAACCCATTCATAATAATTTCCCAATGGGCACATTTGTGTCAATGAAACATTAAAGCTATAACTGTTATGATATATTATGATGAGACTAGCTTCTGTCAGTGGCTTCACCTACATTGCTATGTGATAAAAAGTAGCCTATGTGTTATTCCAGACTATACCTCTGTTTCAAATTTCGTACCTATATACCGATCCCTTCAGCCATTTCGACATCATTGCGTAACAAACATACACTCACTTACAAGCTGTTGCATTTATTTTATAAACTCGCTGTGCCCGCATCTTCGTTCGCGTGGAATAATGATTTACTGCGCTTACCCCGTAGGTGATAGCATAAAAATATGTAGCCTATATGTTGACCCGACCAGTGTGCTTACTCTTGTAACCAATTTCAATGTCAATGCAATTTCAATCCAATAAAATCTCAATAATTATTCAATGTCAACACTATACAACCACAATTTTAGCTGTCAAAATAGCATTCAGAGTACAGAATATAAAGCCAAACTCAATACCATTTAGTTCATTCAATATCCACGCAATACGGATGCAATCGGTGCTAGTGTTGCAACTCAAGAGTACGAAATTTCACAATACCAATGTCGATCGATCGGAATTGGATTCAAGAGTAAGCCCCCTGATAGTAATAATCATACAAAATTTCAAGTAAATCCATGCAGTACTTTTTGAGATCATCCCAGACAACAGACAAAAATTTTTAAAACCATATCCTTGGCTTCAGTATCGATTGTAGATCACGCCCTGAGTATTCTTTTAGAAAAATATTCAATGTATAGTTTTGACTTTTCTACGATTTTATTATATTTATAGAAGATAGATGTGATACTTACACTTCGTCACAATCCATCAGACCGCGGTACCGGATCCAGTAGTTGTCTATTTCATTATTCGCCTCCAATATGAAGTCGTATCGCTCTCCTGCATACGTCACTAGCGATGTGGCTGTAACAAGACAGAGGTAATTTTAATATATGTTATTGATATTTTTTAACTATTCCGACTGCCTCGATGGCCGAGTGGTCGCAAGTGCGACTGTCGATTCGATTCCCGGGTCGGGCAAAGTATGGGTTATTAAAAAAAAATCTCAGTAGTAGTGCGGAGTCTGAAAATGTGTCCGGTATATAAATAGTGAAAAGTGGGTGTTACTTCTGTGTGCACCTCTGCCTACCCCTTCGGGGATAAAAGGCGTGATGTTGTTGTTGTGTGTTAAGTATTCATTTGAGTTTCTTGCTCATTTTTCTCCATAGTAATCTACACTTTGGAATGAGTAAATAGCTTCACTTTTAATTTTTCTTTCAACGTAATGAGCTGCATCTGGATGAAAGTTACTTCTTGGCTGATCTAGAAGTCCTCGGGCAGTTTTTGGTTCAGCAGTAGCCATATTGTGAATGATTTGTTACACAGAAGACGATTAATGATATATCTGATTATTTTTATTTATGGTGCTGTAAGTAGTTGGTATAAGAGTTTTTGACTTCACGGTTGGCGCGGTGACTGGGCAACTGGCTGCCGTGCAACGTGCAGCAGTTTCGATTCTCGCACGAAGCAACCCTTTGTGTGATCCACAAATTGTTGTTTCGGGTCTGGATGTCACGTGTATGTGATATTGTATATTTGTAAAAGCACCCACACATAAATTTGTTTTTTTTTAAAGAAAGTAGTTCGGAAAGTAAGTTAATGCGTAAATTGTCTAGATTATTAGTGATTATTCGACTACCACGATGTAATGGTTACATCCTCAAAGTTCAAACTCGAACCCAACGGCATAGACTATTGGTATGCAGTATTGTGTAAATTCAGGACCGTAAACTCTAAAATTATATTTAGTGTCTTATTACAGACTAGCAGCCCGTCCCGGCTTCACACGGGGTAGACATTTATTTTTGGAAATTTGGATTGTTGTAGTCACATAACTACAATAGTTGGACATATGCTACCGAGGAGTTTCTTGTAGACATTATTATGTTCTTCAATATTGTTGTACATTATTTTGTTCTATCGCTAATAGTTTCGGTAGCGTTTTACCAAGGGTCCCTATTTTTTTTTCAAAATGAAATGTAGCCTATGACAAATTAGAAGAATGTAGCATTCTATTGGTGAAAGAATTTTTAAATCGGCCCAGTACTTTTGGGCCTATTCATTACAAACGTACACAAAGAGGTACAAATCTTTTCTCTTTATAATATTAGTATAGATTCATACTCTTTAACTAACACTGAACAGTATCGGCCGAAAGTCCTTTGGAGCCTATTACTTGAAATAATACGAAGTACCTCAGAGCAAGACAATTTATTTAGGTCAAAGCAGACAACCTAATGTTTTGCCGGTAACGAAACCATAGCTTGAATTTAAATCGGCCAACGCCATCTATCGAGCTATGGGACAACACAATAAATAGTAGTATGGCGTTGGCCGAGTGCATCTTTTAAACAGATTATTTCTACACTGAACATTCCGCCCACCAAAAGGAATATATTCCTTTTCGTACCGCCCACCATGCATAAACTTAACAACTAGGAGAACAGTGGACTGTATGACAATTATATTACTATATTACGAATAATACATCGAGATAGATCTAGTGGACGGCTTCTTTTAGCAGACATTGGCGCGGACAGATATGGTTCCAATCAAAATGAATAGATATAAGTACAAAAACATTAATCTGGGTGACGAAATTCTTGATACCGGCAAAAATATCAGGTTGACAAAATTCTGACAAAAACAATATAACTAAACTACTAACTAAACATTGTAATCAATACATGACAGTGCACAAGAGTAAGAGACATTGTTATTTCAACAGTGCAGTATAAGAAAATAACATAATAAAACCTTATCTAAAAACATACGCAACTTAAACAATTAAATCTACAAGATTTTGTGCCTTATTCAGTAACAGGAAGAAAACACAATTTTGAAATTGGACGTTTAATCATAGAGCCCTTACAACGAACAGTGACAACTCGCGTCAAGTTATCTCTACCCGGATGCAGCTCAACAATTCTGCCATACAACCATTTAGCTGGAGGTAAGATATCTTCTTTTATTAAAACTACATCACCTATTTTACAGTCAGGTTTACGAACATTCCACTTATGCCTTTGAAAAAGTTTGTTAAATACTCCTGTTTCCATCTACGCCAAAAGTGCTGCACCATACGCTATACGAATTGCCATCTGCGTAAAGTGCTAACTGTGACACTTTCATAGTTGTAGTCAGGAACCATTACCAATGGATGACCCACCAAGAAATGACCCGGAGTCAGAGGTACAGGATCCTCTGGATCACTACTACCCTGAGACAGGGGCCTAGAGTTTAGGCATGCCTCGATTTGGGAAAGTACTGTGGACAGTTCTTCGAACCTCAAAGTGGAGTCACCTATCACACGCTTCAAGTGGTGTTTTACACTTTTCACCCCTGCTTCCCACAACCCACCAAAATTAGGAGCGTGAGGAGGGATAAAATGCCATTCTGTTTGAGAGTTTGCAAGAGCAGCTGCAATGTCTTTGTACATCGAACTCTGTTGGTTGAAAAGCATCTGCAACTCTTTAGCAGCACCCACAAAATTTGTACCATTGTCGCTCCAGATATGACGACAGTGACCGCGCCTAGAAACGAACCGTTTGAACGCTGCCAGGAAACCCTCAGTCGTCAAATCTGAAACAACCTCTATGTGTACTGCGCGCGTAGCCATACATACGAACAAACAGATGTACCCCTTATACGACCGCTGTCCACGACCTTTGGAGACTCTAATGTGAATAGGGCCTGCATAATCGACACCGGAGTTCAGAAACGGCTTACTGGGAGTCACTCTGCAAACCGGAAGTTCTCCCATAAGCTGTTGATTCGTGGTCGCCGAGTATCGAATACAGCGAACACAACCACGTATATAAGCTCGTACAATATTTTTAACCCGACTGATCCAGTACTTGATGCGTATAAAATTAAGTACCAGTTGCTGTCCTCCATGAAAGGTCCTTTCATGAGCGTCGGCTACAATTAACTTAGCCAAACTTGAATCATGAGGAATAACAACTGGGTGCTTTGTATCATCAAGTAATGGTGAATACCGTAGCCTTCCTCCAACTCGCAATATCCCACATTGGTCGATAAATACATTCAACTTATATAAAGAACTCGACCTTTCCAATGGACTCTTATTTTTCAGGGCTGTCAATTCAGCCTGAAACCATTGCTGTTGGCTTTGTTTGATACATACATTCAACGCTTTGTGAATTTCGGAAGCTGACAGGTATTTTGCAACCTTAATATTCGCTTTACGAAGTTTTAATGATTGCAAAAATCTTTTACAATACGCAACAACTCTCACCAAACGTGAAAGTGATGAATACTTAGATCCCCAAATGACTTCAAAATCAGGCACTACCTGGCAGTGTGAACATTAACTTGCTTTAACTCCTCATTAGTATGAATGGCACTAGGCCGGGTGAAGTCTATCTGAGCATTCCTTAACCAACCTGGTCCATGTTTCCAAAGATCATCACCAAGGAGAAATGCTGAAGACACTCCCCGGGAAGCTATATCTGCTGGATTTTCTTTAGATTTAACATAAGCCCACTGTGAATTGTCTAGCAAACCAAGAATCTCAGAAGTACGATTAGCCACGTAAGTTTTCCATCGACTTGGATGATCATTTAACCAGGCCAAAACAACTGATGAATCCGTCCAAGCATGTATATTTGCCTTAGGAATGTTCATTACTTGAGCTACATCAATCAATAATTTTGCTACTAAAACAGAACCGCACAACTCCAGCCGTGGAATGGATATTTGCTTGATGGGAGCTACTACCTTTGTCTTTGCGGTTATGAGGTGCGAGTGTATTTGCCCATTAGCATCGACAATGCGACAATACACCACAGCCGCATAAGCTATATTTGACGCATCGCTAAAGCCATGTAACTCCATTGTAATATCTTTTTCGCTTTTATGTATCCATCTAGGAATGTGAAAGTTTACCAGTTTCTTTAACTCTGCTCTATAATATGACCATTCTTGTAAGAGATTTGGTGGCAGTTCATCATCCCAGCCGATTCCACTAATCCATAGCTTTTGTATGAAAACCTTCGAGGTTATAATGCACGGTGCTATCCAACCCAACGGATCATAAAGCCTTGATATCTCTGATATAACCGTCCTTTTTGTTTCAGGTGCAGCAGGAGGTGACATCTTCACAGAATAATCAAATTCATCAGTGTTCCGGTTCCAGGTAAGTCCTAAAATCTTAGTTATACTATCCATTTTTATTTCAAGGTCTCTACCAGAAGTTTCCTTCAACGTTTCCAAAATGGATGGTCTATTGCTTGTCCACTTTTGCAATTGGAACCCCGCTTTCTCTAATAGACAATTCATTTCATCATAAATTAGTTTTACTTCTGTTTCAGATTGACACCCAGTCATCAGATCGTCCATATAGAAGTCTGACTTCACCCTTTCAGCAGCCATTGGATACCTCTCGCCTTCATCGCACGCAACTTGCTGCAACGACTTTACAGCTAAGTAAGGAGCGCATGACGTACCAAAGGTGACAGTCAGAAGTCGGTAATCCTCGATCTCTTTGTTTGGATTCTCTCTCCAAACAATTCTTTGATAATCTGTATCAGGTCGAGCGACCTTGATTTGGCGATACATTTTGACGATATCGGCAGCCAGACAGATCGGATGTTGACGCCATCTCATGACAATATGTCGCAAATCTGCCTGAAGATGGGTCCTACCATTAAGTGAAAGTATTTAAAGGATAAAGTGTCATTTAAGGAAACCCCGTTCGTTCCCTTACATGACGCGTCATAAACCACTCTTACCTTAGTGGTTAATTTATCCTGTCTAACCACTGCGTGATGAGGCAAATAAACAGCATCGTTTTTATTTATTTCAGCCTTATCAACGATTTTCTCCATATGACCTAGCAATAA